CCCCAAGTAGCATGATTTTATAGGAACATATGGAGTACTAATTAAAAAACAAAACTGCTTATGATAATAAAGAAAACACCATTTCATGGTCTGGTATGGCGTCTTCCAATTTCAAATGTAAAATACAGTATTACGCAGTTTGAACTTTTTCTTAATAAGGTCATTATGTATAAGAAATATAATATCCCAAGGAAACTGTTAACTATGAGGAAGCATGGTAGAAAAATATTATAAATTTAGCTGGAATGACCAAAGTGAGAGTAGAGCACATGAATTTGTAATGAATTTTTTTTAAGATTTATTTATTTGAAAGTCAGAGTTACACAGAGAAAGGAGAGGCAGAGAGAGAGAGAGAGAGAAAGAGAGAGAGAGAAAGGTCTTTCATCCGCTGGTTCACTCTCCATATGGCCGCCACAGCTGGAGCCAGGAGCCAGGATCTTCTTCCAGGCGCCAATCTGAAGCCAGGAGCCAGGTGCTTCCTCCCAGTCTCCCACGTGGGTGCAGGGACCCAAGGACTTGGGCCATCTTCTACTGCTTTCCCAGGCCATAGCAGAGAGCTGGGCCATCTTCTACTGCTTTCCCAGGCCGTAGCAGAGAGCTGGGCCATCTTCTACTGCTTTCCCAGGCCATAGCAGAGAGCTAGATCAGAAGTGGAGCAGCCGGGACTTGAACTGGCACCCATATGGGATGCCGGCGCTTCAGGCCAGGGCATTAACCCGCTGCGCCACAGTGCCAACACCCATGAAATTTTGTTTTAAGTACTACCCAAATCTTCACATCCACTTTGGAGAGAATTTAACATGACCTTCAGGTTTTTCATTGCTGAGTAAATAAGGAATTTGGAGGTGAGTTGGGGATAAACCCTAAAACAACTGTAAATAAAAAGGCTGCATTTATATACCATGGGGCAGAAATAAAGGAATCAAGATTAGAAAGAGGGTAGAGTTTAATGAGGCCATAAAAACACCAATTAAGAAGTACACCTACTGGAATTCACATACAGTACTACATTGCTTTGTTTACAATTATTACATATTAAACATATCTTTCTTTTTTTAAAAAAGGATTTATTTATTTGTTTTGAAAGAGTTACAGAGAGAACGAGAGAGAAGAGGTCTTTCATGTGTGTGTTCACTCCCCAGATGGTGACAATGGCCAGCAATGAGCCAGGCTGAAGCCAGGAGCCAGGAGATTCATCCAGGTCTCCCATGTGGGTGATGGAGCATAAACACTTCAGCTTTTCCTAGGCCATTGGCAGGGAACTGGATCTGAAGTGGAGCAGCTGGGACATGAATTGGTGCCCATACGGGATGCTGGAATCACAAGTGACAACTTAACCGTGCTATGACAAAATGTGAGCCCTCAAACTTACCTTTCAATATCTTTCAATATTGAGTCATGTGATCCTATAATTGTTTCTGAAAATTCTACCACATCAATACCTTCCTCAAATTACATCAGAAATAATGAAAATGCATAATACATTTTTCCTAAAAATTCAACCTGAAGAGAACATAATTTTAATGACAAAAGAAACTAATTAATGAAACAAAATGTTACAAGTTTATCATATATGCTATGGCCACTTTCTATTTTTAAGTGTGTTTGTTTATTTATTTGAGAAGCAGAAAAACAGAAAAAAGATAGTGAGCACTATTCACTGGTTCACTCCCCAAATACAACAGCCTAGGCTGGGTCAGGCTAAATCCAGGAGTCCAGATAAAATTCAGGTCCTTCACATGGGTGGCAGGAATCAAATTAGTTGAGCTGTCACCACTGTCTCCCAGGGTCTGCAATCACAGAAAGCTAGAGTAAAAACTCAGAGCCAGGAATGGAACCCAGGTACTATGACACAGGTCGTAGGTACTTAACTACTAGGCTAACTGCCTGCTCTTGACTTCCCACTTGAAAAATTATAGTTCATAACTCTATAGAATAAAGAAATCAAGAAAATAATCCCACATACTATGTTCTATTTGTTATTATGGCATCATGCTTCTCTTTGCAGAACTGTATCTCAAATGTGACTGCATATTACATTTTCAAACACACATAGTGGGGGATAAGGGGAACATTTCATTCCATTGCTTGACCCCAAGCTTGGTCATGTTCATGTTGACTGTTTGAGCTGATGGAATAACAACAGATATAATACATAGCAGAGATTTGGAAAGCTCTTGTTAACGCCAGCATTTCCATTCTCGCACCTCTGTTCTCATAACCATGAGAACATATCTGAGTTACTCTTTCAGATCAGACACGTGGGGCAGAGTTGCTTCTTCCCTTAACCTAAATGAAGCATTCCCAGTCTATCAAACGGCCAGATAACGCTCAGAAACTAGTGATCCCAGCCTAGGCCTGCAATGATTCTATAGCTGATTGCTGGTACATGAGTGAGTTCAGCCATGATCAGCACAACTTGTCACCCAAGAATAATACAAGTGCATGTTTTGTTGAGCCATTAGTTTGGATATAAGTTCCTACTTTCAAAAAATGTTGAGGATCTAATTATATATATCTATTGATATCTACTGGGTAAGAAATTTTAAATACAAGAATAATAAGCACAAATCTCTTTAGCCATTAGAATGGTATTGCTGTCCTCAGCCACACAGCTTCTGGGGAACTGCATATACTCGTGAGAGAATGAAAGTGGAAAAAAATGAGTAAAAACTAGCAAAGGGCTCAAAATCAGTACCCTGAAAATAGTAAAAGATAAAAAAATTCAAGTAAATACAAGTATATCTGTATATCGTTCTCTGAATATTACTGCTGTATAGTTTTTAATTTATCAATGTGAGGATATTAATAATAATATGACTATTGAAGAAAATATTTAGTTGTTCTAAGTAGGAAGTATTGTAGCATCCATATTTGTACATAATGAAGAATTTTTTCAATGTCAATTTAATTAGAAAATTACCTTTCTCAACAAAAAGAAAATCAATTAAAAATCCCTGTATTTCAGAGGCAAACCACAAAGGCAGCTAAGCGAGAAAACACCCAGATGGTTCACAAAGCCATAGCATGACACAAATAAAAAAATAGCTTTCCTTTATAATAACTGATTAGCAGCTTGCATTTTCTAGATTATGTGGAGAGACACAAAGCCTATTTGTTCTCACTTAATAGTCATTATTCCACTCTCCCTTACTTATAAAAACCGTGATTTAACTCTCTTAATTATTAAATGCTGGAAATGTTCTTTTTTCTAATTTCCTTCTGTTTGGATGTGGATAGGAGGACTAGAATTCCAAAGGCTGTTATACCACAAGAAGCATGAAAACAGGAAATCTATGCATGGAAGCCAAAAGCTAAGGATGACACAGGAGCTTGTATTTCTAATGAAAATGTAGAACTGCCTGATGATGGTAGATTGCCTTCCTTTGTTTCTTTTACATGAGGAACTTCTATCTTGCTTAAGCCACTATCATTTGGGGATATTCCTTTAGCTGTTTAGGTGCTGCCAACTTAATCATGAATAATGTAATATTTAACCACTAATACATTAAATATTTTTGAACTCCAAAAATTATGGATATAAAGACTGGGAATTTAAAAAGGAACGGGAAAACTATAGCTATGTAAATACATAGGCATGTGGCCGGCACCACGGCTCAATAGGCTAATCTGCCGCCTTGCGGCGCCGGCACACAGGGTTCTAGTCCTGGTGGGTGCGCCGGAATCTGTTCCAGTTGTCCCTCTTCCAGGCCAGCTCTCTGCTCTGGCCAGGGAGTGCAGTGGAGGATGGCCCAAGTACTTGGGCCCTGCACCTGCATTGGAGACCAGGAGAAGCACCTGGCTCCTGGCTTTGGATCAGTGCGGTACACCGGCTGCAGCGCGCCGGCCGTGGCGGCCATTGGAGGGTGAACCAATGGCAAAAGGAAGACCTTTCTCTCTGTCTCTCTCTCTCACTGTCCACTCTGCCTGTCCAAAAAAAATATACATAGGCATGTATGTATTTATCTTTCTAATCAGTAAATTAGAGACAGCAAAGATGTAAAACATGAAAAAGGAAAAAAAAATTCCCTAACAATATTTGACTAAAGTTATCAATCATTTCAATTTAGATGACTTGGGATGAGTAGCCATATCTCTTTGAATGTCATTTTGAGATAAGTTCATATAATTTAGCTTTATATTACTCTACATTGTGATTGTCATTCCATGGTGCATTTATAATAAATCTACATAAAAACTTCCGCTATCTTCATAATGGCTCATGATTTATAGAGACAACTTTTTCTGTGATGTTTAAAGCAAAATTTGAAGCCAATAAAACAACTTGTTAACAGTCAATTCGGGGTAATTATGTACAGGATTCTTTATGGTGGGAATTTTTATTTGTTTCTTTTGTTTTTGTTTTTTTGCATATTTAACAAGTTTATCAAAATTAAAAATTTTAAGATACTAAATTCTCACAAATAAAAAATTATTGAAAACAGTACCATAGCAAGGCTTATTTCTGACTTGGTGTTTTATTTCTGTAATAACTAATTTATATTGATAAAAGTTTTCAAAACAGCCATATTTCCACTAATTATAAAGCATCTCTCTGATGCAGGCTCCAAAAAATCGCATTATTATATAATGGGGCTGGAAGAAAGCTACATAATTCCTAATGTTATAGGACTTTAACAGTATATCATTTTGTTGAGTATTTTTTAAAAAAGATTTATTTATTTATTTCTAAGTCAGAGTTAGCAGAGGGAGGAGCATCCCATGGTTCACTCCCCAATTAGCCACAACAAGCTTCCTCCAGGTCTCTCAAGTGGGTGCAGGGGCCCAAGGGCTTGGGCCATCTTCTACTGCTTTCCCAGGCCAAATCAGAGAGCTGGATTGGAAGTGGAGCGCTTCAGGCAAGGGCATTAACCCACTGCGCCACAGTGCCGGCCCCCAGTTGAGTATTTCTTTTGTTTTGGTGGGGGGGGGGGGGGACGACACGACACACAAACGATCTTTATTAGGTACAAGCAGCCCAGGGAGTGATCACCCCAGCTTCATGGCCAGCTCCTTGGTCTTGGCCTTCTCCAGCTTGGCGATGTGAGCCACGGACTTGGGCCCCGCTTGTACAGGATGGCCCGCTGCCGCTGCAGCCGGATGTAGCGCGGCCACTTGACGAAGCGCGTGAGGTCCCGCTTGGGCTGGATGTCTTGTCCGATGCCGAAGTTCTTGGGCCGCTTCACGAGCAGCGGGTTCACCACCTTCTTGGCCTCCTGCTTCTTCACCACCGCAGGGGCCGGGGCCACCTTCTTCCCCTTGGCCTTCTTCCCCCTTGGCATCTTGAGCAGCTGGAGGTTTTTTGTTTTTTTGTTTGTTTGTTTTTGGGTTTTTTTTTTTTTTTTTGCAAATAGATTCATGTATTTTAGTTTCATAAATACTCATGCATTTTAGTTTCATAATTGTTATTATAGATTCTTTAGTAACAAGCATATTTGTTTACAGTTTTCCATTTTGTCATTTCTTAAGGAGGATTTTCAAAAGTTGTCAATATTTTTAAAATGGGAAAACAACAATGGGTGAAAAAGAAACCACACCAAGAAGTCTTATTTTTTATTTATACTTTTTCAATTAGTTACAGAAGTAGATGAAGAAAAAATATTTGAGAAAAAAACAGTGTAACACTGGACAATAACTTCAGCCTAATGGTAGATATTAACAGATACAGAGGCTCGAGTTTGCTGTACATTTCTTGCTTCAATCTATCTTAAACTTTCCATCCTTTATTTATCTGAAAGACTCAAACAATAAAACAAGCTAACTTTCTCATCCCAACTGAAGGATGCCTGAGGATAATACATAGAGGAATTTTGCGCTGTGTTCATAGACATTTGCACTGAGTGCAAATCCTAGCTGATTTTGTGAGAACAGTCTTCACAGAGAGTGGCATAAAGGGAAAAACTTCACTGAGTAGAATTTAAGTAAACTAACTCTATAAAAGAATTCCTTCTAAAGTATTAACTCACGAAACTACCTTGAGAATTTAAGAGACTGCATAATGAATCATCTGAGATGTTGGTTCACAAAGAGCTTTGTTTTGAGGACACATATAGGGTGAAAGATATCCAGAGTATAATTGATGGTCTTACTCAGCAAAGAGCAAGATTGTGTCACATAGACAAAGAAGGCCATACATGTTCTCAGAAAAACCACACAATGCAAAGTGTTTGGGTGGGGCTGGGGGGAGGTGTGTTGGAGGACAAGCTATAGAAGGTGCAAATGAGAGGACTCCCAGATCAATATGACAGCATCAATGAAGAAAGGTACAATGTAAGAAATGGCAGTCACATAGCAGTATCCTTAAGCCAATCACTACCCTAAATGATTTACTTATAGAGACTTGTTCATTCACTTTTCACTCTATCAGTTGGAAGAGGAAAATGACATAGAAGAAGAGGTATCACACCCAAGATTTCCCACTGAAGTTACTTCTCCCTCTGGGATCTGGAAAAGGGCTTGATAGGAGAAAATCATCCTGTCAGTATCTTCCACATCGTCTTACTTTTATAACTGTAGATTCCATTCTAAATGTATTGTTAATTCACTGGAGGTTTTTGGAATGAAAGCCAAACAAAATAATCTCCACCAGTAAAATTGGAAAAGAGTCTAACTCTTACAGTCTAGTTTTTCTTATGAGAAAGAGCACAAGTATAATAGTATTACTTAATAATTGTTCTAAAGACTGAATGAAATAATATATGGAAAGTGCTTAGCACTTTCTGACACACAATAGACACTTAATAACTAGTATCTGCCTTAAAGTTACTATTATTATTTGAATTTCACCCACAGTCTGTTTCTTCTGCCCTAGCTATTCCCTAATGAATGCTGTGTTGCTCACCAGTCAGGTGGGTGTCACTGAAGGAAATTAGAATCACCAGGACATATTGTAGAGCTTCCTATTCTTAAAATACTTCAGGTGTTTGTGTTGACTCCTCTATCAAGGAGATCCATACTCAATAAATACAAAGTACTCTCCCAACTGAATATCTGCTAGATTAACAGGCAGAAAAAAAAAGGGAAAGAGCCAAAAGAGGAGTCTGGAAAATCAATTTTATACAAAAAGAAAATAATTATTATAACTTCTATGTAGCTATACTAATCTGCACAAGAAAAGAACGCAGGGGTGGGAATTGTGGCTCAGCAGATAAGCTGTCCCCTGAAAACCTCTGCATCCAGTGACACAGTGGATGGAATCCCCCCTCCAACTCAGGTTCAGCTTCCTACTAATGTGCACCTTGGCAGGCAACTAGAGATAGCTCAAGTACGTGGTTCCGGTCACCCCTGAGGGAGACTCACATGGCTCAGGCCTGGCCCAAATCGGCTGTTGTGGCAGTTGGGTAGTGAATCAGTGATGAATTCTGTCTCTCTCCCTCCCCCTCCCCCCATTGCTCTGTCTTTAAAATATATAAAAATAATAGTAAAGAAGCAAAAAAAAAAAAAAAAGAATGCAAAGGCAGGCTGTGTTTTTGTGGCATGAAGTTAAACTGAGAACTTGTCTGAAGAGGCCAATGAAATGGGTTGGTCTAGGATTCATCACGACAAATGGAGACATTTCTACCAAACTCTTGTAAAAAAAAAATAGGATTTAATCAATTACCTCCAAAGAGTCCTATACCTGAGCCCCTACTGGGGTTTGTGGAAAACTATAACAAGATGACATATATACAACTATTATGGAGAGAAATTAAAGAGCATTATTCCAATGGAAATTGCTTGTTTGACCTTACTTGATCCAGTATTCATCACAAAACAACAACAAATAGGAATAACTGTGCCACACAAGCAATATTTTTCCTGAATATTTTAACACTACAAAAATTTATCCAAGGGCCATTATTGTGGCATAGTAGGTTAAGCCTCTGTCTATGGTGCTGGCATCCCATGTGGGCTCCAATCTGTATCAGGCTGCTCCTCTTCTGATCCAGCTCTTTGCTATGGCCTGCGAGAGCAGTGGAAGATGACCCAAGTTCTTGGGCCCTGCACCCATGTGGGAGACCCAGAAAAAGCTCCTGGCTTTGGATCAGCCCTGCTCCAGGCATTGCAGCCATTTGGGGGGTAAACCAGAGGATGGAAGACCTTTCTGCCATTCCGTATCTCTGGCTGTAACTCTACCTCTCAAATAGAGAAATAGCTCTTTATTTTCATTGGAATCATAGTCTAACTAACAATAATATAGTCACATTTTGTTATAACGGAGCACACCCTAAAAAATTCAAGTGTATTGAAAATGTCTAGCCACAATTCCCAAGCGGATTAATTATTAAGGGAAAGATTCTGAATTTGAAAGAAAAAAGAGAGTGGTATAATTTTTCAGAAGGCAAGCATAATTGCTTCTTGCATTATGTATTGAATTCCTTACAGCCAGCTTCTATTTGGTTTGCATTTCCCCAATTATAATTTTCTCCATAACTGATATAGGTGTTTATCTGAGTCTCCTTTCTGGTTTTAAATTCTGTTATGATTCATTAGTGAATACACAACTTTGCCTTAATATCTAATTAAGATAATTGTTTGAAATTTTAATGCAATCTAGTAAGTATGAGTTTAATATTACATAAAATAAATAATGCTAAAAACAATAAGAGAATAAAAAAGTTAACATATTAAAATTTAGCTATTCAATTATACATCCAAATATTTTAAGTAATTCCCCCTCAAATTTGGAGGGTCACAGGTTTTTTTTTTTTTTTTTTTTTTTTTTTTTTGACAGGCAGAGTGGACAGTGAGAGAGAGAGACAGAGAGAAAGGTCTTCCTTTGCCGTTGGTTCACCCTCCAATGGCCGCCGCTGCCGGCGCGCTGCGGCCGGCACACCGCGCTGATCCGATGGCAGGAGCCAGGAGCCAGGTGCTTTTCCTGGTCTCCCATGGGGTGCAGGGCCCAAGCACCTGGGCCATCCTCCACTGCACTCCCTGGCCACAGCAGAGGGCTGGCCTGGAAGAGGGGCAACCGGGACAGAATCTGGCGCCCCGACCGGGACTAGAACCTGGTGTGCCGGCGCCGCAAGGCGGAGGATTAGCCTAGTGAGCCGCGGCGCCGGCCTGGGTCACAGGTTTTGAATGCACTTTTTATCCCTAGGAGCAAACTCATGCCAATTAGACCACAAAATTAAGACAACCTCTACATCAATTCTACATATATAAATTATCTTGAAGGTTAAATGGTTTATCACTGAGCTTCTGTTTTCACAGTTGAAACCCATTTTATCTAAAGTTTAAAAGTATTTAATGAATTTAAAATATCTGACAAAACTGCATATTGATATTAACTAATGCAAAACTCCAGTTGAGCAAATTTTATAACCACTATATAAGCTTTCAGACTAAAATAGGTAATGAATGAAAATGCACTGACTAAAGAAGCCTCACTCAAGCTACAACTTTGAGGGAAAGAAGCTTTTATGGCCAGTATCTATACATAAGTAATTTCCACTCAAGTGGTGGCGGTTGGTATATACACTATGAGTTTGATATTAATGTTAACCAAAAAATGTAAAAGTCATAACAGTCAATTAACTAGAGAAGAAACATTAAACCATAAAAGTTTTAGAAAAGTATTTGAAAGATGTGAGATATAGACCACATCACAAGAACAGATACTGGATCTTTTTATTTCTGTAGCAGAACTCTTGGCATAAAGTGTTTGTATAATTAATGTTTATGGAAATAAACTCATCGCTAGCTATAGGGAAAGCTATTTCAGTAGGGGAAAGTACCAGACACAGTAACTAGAAAAAAGGAGGAAAAGAAGAATGTATGTGTAAAAAACACTAACTTGGAAAGACAGTTGGCATTTTGGAAGAATAAGGGGTAAGGTTGGAAATGTCAACTCCTAATGATTTCTGTCTCCTCAGATGTTCCCACCTATCCACACCTAAATTTTCTGACATTTCTTTCCAGAGTGTTCAGTCTACCCTATCTCTGAGACAGATCTGACTAAGACAAGAAGTACATATCAAAGTCCTTCCACCTTATGGACCCTTAATTAATTGCCCTTCAAAACCAGAGTCAAATCCAGTGACCAATAGGAGCCTACACTATGGCTGCACTGTTTCTGCCAGTCAGTTTATGGACCTAACTTTCAGATGAAACTAAAGTAACTGCTTTGTTCTTTACATCCTTAAAACATATCTCTCAGTCTGATTCCTGACCAGCTACCTTTCTTCTGTAGATTGAAACTTGATGCTTTTCCCAAAACTACTGGCATGAACCGGCTCCCATATCTCACACTAAGTTCTCTGGTATTGACCTCTGGATTCAATACACAAAGATCCTACCTCCTCAAGGTTTCCATCAGAG